GCTCGAGGCCTCGAGAAGCTCGGATCTGCACCTTCCTTTTCGAAACGCCACCGTTTGTGCTGCAATCATCATAGATCTCCGAGCAAGCAAGCCAAGCCCAACCGATCGCTCCCTCGCTGAATCGCATATACACTTAAAACACCAAAATTCCACCGACATCATCGCTCTTGGTCACTGTGTTCTGCGGGCGTTCCTACTACCGGCGTAGCAGCAGGCGTACTCCCTGTAATCTGAATTGCCGGCAACCTCTCCCCAACCCTCAAGCTCGGCAACCTTGGCACACCCTCCCCCCTCCCGGCCACGGGACTCGTATAAGGCGGCGCGTCCTCATACTCCGGTGGTTCGCCCATCGGTGGGGACGGTTCACTACTTGTCCCTACGCTCGGCGTACGCATGGTCGGATCACTGCCGCTACCGCTTCTATCCTCCGACGAACTCTGGGGCGTCATGTCCGCGAGTTCGCTATCGGTCGTCATGACGGATTCCGCAGAAGCGGCTCGAGCATGGGAGTGGAAGCGGTGGGTAGGGAGGTGGAACAGGGAGCTGCGCCGCGAAGATGAGGCGTTGCGCTGGTCACCGCCCATGCTTGCTGCAGAATCGAGAAGAGGGCGATGGTCTGATTCGACACTATCGGCTCGTAACCTCGAGCCGTCATGGCGTGCGAGACCTAGCTCAGCATAGCTAACGGAGCTGACACGGCGGTCATTGCTGGAAGCACGGGCCTGGTGGTCTGCTATCATTGAGCTGGCGCTGGCAGCTGCGATGGGCAAGCTGGTTGTGCTACTGCCTGCACTCGCAGAACTTCCAGCACGGGCTCGAGCGCGTGCTTCACTTTGGAGACGGAGTTGTTCGAGACGTGCCCAGTCGCCTGCTTCTCTCGCTTCCTGACGTTCTCTTCGACGGTCGTTGCGTTCATTGATTTCCTGTCGCCGCGTTTGTCGGATCTGGTAGAGTGATTCCATGTCCTGCTCTCTTCGCTCTTCTTCCTCTTCTGCTGTTTCTGGAAATTCGACAACAGTGTCCACGCCACCGCGTTCGCCTTCACGAGCTATGAGGCGTTCATGGGGGTGAGGTGTTGGGTGATAGGGAGGAAGCGTCATGATGCTGCGAATGGAAGTGTTACGATTGACGCCATCGCTTGGCGGAATCTCGGCCAGAGAATGCATGGTAGATTCTCTCGTTGATGTATTGGTTGCAACGTATGAAGTCTCTTGATCCTGTATGCTCCTGGCGCCCGACTTCTTCTTGAACGGAAGTAGGCGTCCAGCCTTGTTCGTCCAAGAGCGCCATCTCGGGTCCTTCTTTGGGCTGGTGGAGTAGTTAGGAGGCCGTCGCTTTGCAACATAGACGTAGACTGCTATTAGTATGAAAGTGAGGGCGACTGCGATTGCTATGCCCTGCGCTGCGAGTCAGCCCCCATTTTCAAGGTTGTGCAGATTGCTTGTGGAACATACGATAACAACAGGATTCGTCGAGCCCGATTGCAGACCTGTTGGCTTGGAAGTATTAGTCGCCCTCGCGGCGAGAGGAGCGACGGGCATGTTGAAGCCAAGAAGCTTCGGTTCGGCCGCCGAGTCAAGGCGGCCAAGGAAAGGATCCCCGGTGATGGGCGCTGTTACCTTACTTATTGAGGTGGGACAATGGCAGCACTGTTGAATTGTGTCAACTCATAAGATGTCCTCTCTGTCTCTCTCTCTTTCCCAAATGATTAAAATTGACAAGTAGGTCCGGTAGAGCTGTTGGATGATGTTGTTACTCGTCCAGACCTGAATTCGTTCGTAAAGAAACAGGGAAACTCAACGGTCGGGCACAGAGTAAGCTTGCGTAAGGCTGAGATCAGCCAGTGAATCCAGCAATATTCAAGATCTCAAGTGTACACTCAATGATTGGATGGCCAGAATTACACTCGATATCTATTCACCCTGCGTGTTATCCTTTGTTTTTGACTTATTCTTAAAAGCTGAGACTGCCCAATTCACAAACGCATCTGTTCGGCGGCTACATGCAGCTACGGAGGATTGTTTCACTCGCAAAAATATACAGATATCTCGCCATACATGCGAACTTATTCACTGCCTCTGTTCGCTAATTTGTTTGCCCCATCCCAAGGTCACCATTGGAGCGTTCTGCTTCCGTATGGTCCAAAGCATCGTACGCTGCCTGACGGTTTGCCGCTTTTGGCCCTGGTAAGTCCTATGAGCTTGCTTGCAATCGTGCACTTGAGCCGGTCGATGTTGTCTCTCTGGGGCTCATCTATAGAGGGTTGGAGTAGCACTTGTGACTAGCATGTGTCAAGCACGTTGCAAGATGGGTTAAATTCCCATGAGTTTCAGCAATTGATCGGCGCGCGCTGGGTGGAGTGATTCGGCATGTCTCGAATTGTACAGCCTTCTGCCGCATGGATGCTTGGGAACTCGATGGCTTCATTCGGTCAGACAGTCATCGATGTTAACTCTTTTATAGAAAGAGATGTGGCCGAAATCCTGCAAAATGGATTAGCGAGAGGGAATGACACAGTGGTCACAGATATACTCGACTCACCTCCCAATATTGTGCCAGAGAGTCATGAGAGATCATGATCAACTGCGACGATATGAATCTGTCATCCCGATACCCTCTTCCAGCGATATGACCCCAGCTTCTGACCGTTCTTGCTCCGTCGAACATTTGCTCTTTTGCTACACGTATTAGCCCATTCGGTCCGATATCCTCCGCAATCCAGGTATATTCTCCTCTAGGAACGTTAATGTCGCCCGTCAATTTGATGGCCTCTAGTCTGCCCGAAGGGCCTTCCGCAGCTGAGGCTTGAGCGTCTGGGTGTGCAAGGCTATCATCCTGAGTCGTTGTGGTTCCTTGCGCTTCTTTGTCAAACCCATTCCCAAAATCTTCCATTGGTTGCCGTGTAGAGGGGCCTCCAGTCTCCACAATATGGTCCGAAGGAACCAAAATCTGGCTCTCTATAGCTTCCGCTGAACGCCGGACACGGTCTGGGTCTTGCAGCCCCATATCGGCATCAGCCATTGCCATAGCCATGCCTTGCGGCAAGGAGCCTGTCGATGGTGTCCTAGAAAGGGCCATGGGCGATTCAACATCACGCTGTAACACGAGTAGGAACTCGCAGCCGTGGCCCGAATAGTCTCCAACCCAAATCCCCTGCCACGGCTTTTCCTTAGTAGGCATGTAAGACTCCTCAAGCAGCGTACTGAAAGTCATGACTTCCTCTGCCATCCGCACTGCGTTCAAAGGCTGTATCAAATTGGAAAACTCCAGCCATTTCCGTATTCTGAAGGTTCGGTCACTCATGAGATCCAACGTCTGAGGCCGATGTTCCTCTGTTCGGAACTTGGTTGCAGATTCATTGCGTACTCGGTCTTTCGCGGGAATGTTGGCAGGTGGCCAAAGCGCCATGGCGGTGGTTTGTAGGGCTTTGGGGATTGGCCGGCAGAGAGATATCATTGAGCAGATGCCGTGCGTTGTTCCCGTCTGCATGGCAACTTCCTTCTGCAACCGGTTGTCATTGTAATGGATACCTGTGTTAAAACCAAGCTTGATCACTGGATCATCGAGCCACAGCCTGACCCTAGGGTTGAAGGTGTGAATGATAACCTCACGGTTGTGCGCCCATGTCTCATAAGTATGAGCCCCATGCTCTGCAAGAAGCCGAAAGGCCTCGATGCAACCATTTTGACTATTGTAACGTGCCAGTATCAACAGCCCGTTGTTGGGGACATCGGCAAACCATATCTTGTTCTGGACCAAGAACCAGTAGGGATGATTGGCAATGTAGACCTCTCTCCAGCTCTTCGCTGGCGATGGAGACTCGAGAGCGCCAGAGCCAGGTACGTTATTCCGAACGAATGGCATCCATAGAAGATCATTGAGGGCGTGGGAGCGTAGGAGACCACAAGTGCGTGACAAGCTGGCGAGGGAAGCAGGAGGGAGGAAGGCGAGGATGTGACTGATAATCTCAGCAGGTAGAGCTTCGAGGTTTGAGGTCCGCGGAGACATGGTATTGCGAGGATCGAGGTGCACTGATTCGATTGCTTCAGGTGTGGCGGTCGATTCTTTGACGATGGGACCAGAGATGGTGGATGATGGTAAGGATGTCGAAGGGGACTTCAAGAGTGCAATGATGCTCTCCATCTTTGGGATGATTGTTCAATGCCCAGCTAGCAACAGTCCAACATTCCAAGTCTGCTCCGCGAGCCGGCAATAATGACGATAGTAAAAAGGTGAAAAGAAGGCTTTCTCGCTTATGTGTTCTAGCGCAATCTTCCGCGAGGCCACAGATTGCTCTTGCCTAAAGCTCGTTACGATGCTTGACTGCATGGCATTCATCTTCATAAATAATGATGTGATTGACGTGAATGACGAGACTTTATGCGGCTGAGTTGCAATTCTAGGAAGGTGGCATACGCTTCAAACTTTGGTACAACGGAAACATACTTTAGCCCAAGAGTACCTAGGTCCTAGAGGTACTTTACCTGACCACTGACCCCACCCCAGATCCCCATAGCTCATGCCAGATTCGCGGCAATCTGCATCCATGATACAAGACATATACATGCTCCTTCTTCAAGGAGACAAGCCGACTACATCATCTGCTGCCAGGCGAGCCGAGGTGGAAGATGAAGTGCGATAAGTTGTACCTTCGTATTATCAGCGTGACAGCCAATACCTCCCAGAAAACGAAAGCTAAGAACCGAGCACTAGCGATTTAGCTTCAAGTCACGAGATCCAATCGTTCTACGCGCCAAGACTTCTTCTCAGACGCGCCGTTGTTGAGCCTTACAGGGCTTAGGCTTTGTTTACAAACATCAAGGTATGACTGCAGCCTACAAAGCTTCGAGCTCCATCTCCAGCACTCCTTTGTTTACCACAGCTGTTTTTGCTGTTGACACTTGCTCAACACGCGATCCTTTTGCTCAAATTCATGCTCTTTCTCTCTCTTTTCCTTCCTTCCTACATCTCCAGAGCCAATGCACAATAGCCGCCTCGCAATGGCAATGAACACTCCTCAAGTCGAAGTGGTGGACATCACAGACGACAGACCTCTAGCTGTTCGTCGAAAGCGACGCATCAGTACTGGGCTTGCGGATCCCGTTGATATACCGAAGTTGGAGCCAAGTGTCGAAGTTGAAGAGAGCTCTCGAGAGGCTCCCAAGACGCCCACCAAGTCCAAGAAACGAGTGCGCTTTTCGGACCCAGGTCCCGAGCTTTCAGCGCCATCTACATCCACCGGACTCACCCCTTACCTCAAGCGAACAACCTTCACCCCACGGGCTCAGGGACCTTCAACGCCACGGCTACTGGCCGCCGGCACAAGGCGTCTTTCGCTTCCCGTACAATTATCGACGTCGCTACCATCTCCATCCCTGTCACCGTCACCAGGCCCATTTTCAGGCGAATTTCAATTCGCCCCGCTGCGTCAAGTACTCGATAACCGGCTGAAGCGGCGCTTAAGGAGAAACAATCTAAGTGGTGAGATCAATGACATAGACGAGGAAAAGAAATCAAAAAGGAAGTTGGAGCAAGAGATACAAAGCCTCAAGGATGAGCTGGCAGTGGCCAAACAGTCCGGCAAAGAACACAGCGATGGATCAGACGGAGAAGCAGCGGGTGCTGAGAGAATCCGAGAGTTGGAGCAACAGCTGGTCGAGCTGAGGAGAGAGATGCGCGAGCGATCAACAACTGCTGAACCTGTCGCTGGGAGTGATGACCTCCCGGACACGGTATCATCGCCTATGGAGATCTTTGTTGACAACGCAGATGAAGGTTTTATTGCAACGAATTTCGACGACAATGGAGCTCTCCAAGACCAGACCCCGGTCGGAGTCCTGCAGCCTGTCAACGAAGCGGCAACTCAGGTCGCACTGCCTTCGCCCACTCACACTGAGACATTCCGTTTCGCTAGGATTTCACTGGAGTACCTCTTTCCCGGAGAAATCGCGCTTGGTCTCATTCCCGAGGACCCAAAGCCATTGCTCGACGTCATGCTCGACCGCATGCGAACTCTAAAGGCTCAAGCCTTTATGGCAGAAGGTTCATTGAAAGCTACCGAAACTCAAGAATCAAATTTGCGAAACCAATTCAATGCAGTGCTTGCACAACTGGACCGTGCACGTGTCTATGCCGACGACTTGAGCAAGCGTCACTCAAACGAAAAAACCAGAGCCGACAATGCGCAAGCGAGAGTGAGCATGCTGGAAACAAGCCTCCAGAACACGTCGAGCAAGGCGACGGACTTGGCAAGGGATGTTGACGAGAAAGAACGCTCAATTGGAAAGCTTCAGGACGCGCTTGAATCTTACAGAATCGAAGTTGGCAAGCTTGAAATGCTCGTCACTAGAAGCGAAGGCGAACATGATACAGCCATCTCTCAGCTGCGCTCCGAAATGGATGAAGCTGTTGCAGACCTTGAGTGTCACGTCGCCGCAGAGACTAGGGGAAGACGTGAAGCTGAGCAGGAAGTGCAGGAGAGGAATGTGAGAATCAAAGAGCTCAAGGTTCGCGAGCAAGGACTTCAGGCCGCGGTCAATGAGAAGCAGGAAGTCATTCGGGAGACCGAGGCAGTCTTCGCTGAGGAGAGGACTGGAAGGGAGCGAGAAGTTGGCGGGCTGAACGTGACGATTGGGCAACTGAGTACTGACCTTTCGGAATGCAAGGCCAAAGTAGCCGCCGCCGAGGAGAAGCAACAACTGCTGATGAGAAAATTGCAAGAAGAGCGTGACGCAGGCTTGCGTGCTGTTGAAGCTGTGCAGACTGAGCTCGCAAGCTGCACGGAGAAAGCCGAGGGAGTCAAGATTGCTCATGTGAAGGACGTGCAGAGGAGGGGAGCCGAGGTGACGGAGCATAAAGGTCTCCTAACCCCTGTCAGTGTGACGAGATTCAGAGATGTGGAGGGCTATGTAGAATTCAGACGTGGTAAGAAGGGAAAGCGACCTGACAGTGGGATTGGAGTCCTGGAGGAGGACGAGGATGAGGATATGATCATGGCTGATGATTTGTAAATTTGCAAGCAAGCAAGCGGTAATATTGTGGCAGGAGTTCTGACCTTCTGTACATTGTACGCATCTTTCTCAGCTCATAGTACAAACTATCCACTCACCAATGGCCTCGATCACAATCATCAAAAGTTGATGTTTCTCTTGATGTGTAAGGGGTGAAATTGATGCCAGAAGTTCAAGGCATCACGTTCATTCCTCGTAAGGCTGATATATTGGCGTCTACCTTAGGCCCACTCTACGAAGGTAATTTAATCTGCCCTGGACCTATCCACCATTAAGCCAAATAGATTGGCAAATATGCTTTCAATTCCATTTCCATTTGGCCCTGTGCTCTAGCTGTACGACAACCTTTACCTCGCCCTCACCAGCCAATCATCCCAAAACTCCATCCAGAAACAAAAAACCGCCTGCCTACCTATCTACCAATTACCCTCTCCCTCTTCAGCGCACACACACCCTGCGCCATTCCGCGTCTAACTAGACCTCGCCGCACTCTCCAGCCCAATCCAACCGACCCACCACCACAACCATGTCCCTCGTCCTCCTCGCCCACGCCTGCTCCCACCTCCAAAACGCCTCCAAAGCGCGCCTCGGCCTGACCTCCCTGCCCTCCACGACCCAACTGCACACCCTGCTCCTCCAGCTGCAGAAGTGCGGCTACGTCAACACGGTCGTGGTCGGCGGCCCCACGCCGCCGCCGCCGAGCGCGTTGGCGCCGACCATGAGTGCGAACCCGGAGGCGAGGAGGGAGATCGACGGGGGGCACGTTGCGTTTTGGGGGAGGGGTGACGGGGGGAGGGAGGGAGGGGAGGAGTTGGGAGGGGAAGGGGAAGGGGAAGGGGAAGAGGGGTCCGGGAGCGGCGATGTGTGGGAGCCGGTTACGCAGGAGAATGTCTCGTCGCGGCGGTTGTGGGTGGGGTTGAAATATTACAACAGCCGGCCCGTGCTGGAGAAGATGCGGTTGGTGTCGAAACCTACGCGGCGGGTGTGGATGCCTATTGGGGATATAGAGGCGTTGGTGAAGGGGGAGAGGAGGGGGTATGTTAATGGTTTGAGGGGCATTGGGGAGAGCATGTTTGTGACGACGGATCGGGGGATTATGGAGGCGAGGGAGTGTGTGGAGAGGAGGATTGGGGGGATGTTGCTGTGTCGGGTTAATCCTGTGTCGTGGTGAAAAGGGAAAGGGGGGCAATAGATTCATTCGAGTATGGTGCTAGCGTTGCCTGGGTTGCATTGGTTGATGTCTCGAGTGTACAAAGAGGAAGAATCTTCCATGTTGAGGTTTGCAGGCCAAAGACACAGCTGCAAACCGAATATTACAGAGCTGATTGATTAACGCACGAGGGCAAGCTTATTAATTGTACATACTGCCAGCTTTCAAAGCTAGCTACGCTCCGGTGAGATGCCATTAAATGCACCGTGGTATAGAACTCCAAGCCCTCAGCTTATGTTCTCAAACGCTAGAATCTCAGACCTGCTGCAAACGACGGGACCAGACCGCCGAGACCAGCAGCAATTTCGCATCATTGCGATGGAAGTGAAGCAGCAGATGCCAAAGCAGCGTCATCAATGCCGTTGTCTACTCCAGTTGTTTTTGGGGCTTCGCTGGAATCAGCCGGGGTTTGTACCGGTGGTGATGGAGCCAAATCCGTTGGCTGACCCCCCTTCGTTTCGACATTCTCGCTCTTCGCTTTCTCACTTCCATCACTTTGTCTTATGTTCCTTACCCCGTTAGTCTTCTTGGGTGGGGTTTTGGCTTCCACCTTTTCGTGCGTTTTCTGGGATGAGCTCTGAGTTGGACGCATCATTCTGTCCAGGAAACTCCCTTCCGGGGCCTTTGAGCTTACGCTACTCAGCCGCGACTTTGGCTTATCTTTTGCCTTTTCTGCCGGCTTCGAGCCGGCAGGCAGCGATGTACGAGCCGGCTTTTGCCGCAGCGATGTTGGATTCGAGGGGACGCGGTCCCTGGGTTTGGTTGCAGCGGCCGATGCTGCGTCGAGTTTGGCGGCAGATGCGGCGGTTGATGCAGTAGCCGAGCCAGGTAGTCGGACAGGACGTGTTGGGGACTTTGGACGCGGCTTAGTGAATGACGGTGGGGATGTGGGACCTAGTTTCTTCCCTGGCTTCTGTGCGGGCTTCGGCGCCGCTGCAGGGGCTTTTGGTACCACAGATGGCCGACTTGGTCTTTCAGCAGTCGTACTCTTTGCATCCTTAAGGACATCGTTCTTTGGCTCTTTCGAAGCAGCTGACTTTGGTGATATCTTTTTGGTGAGCGGTTGCTTGCTAGGCGTTGCTGTATTTTGGGGTGTAGTGGGCGTGGGGATTGTGGACGTTTGGGTCTTGTTCTCGGCCTTTGCCTTAGTGGAGGTTGCTGGCTGAACAGCTGATTTCTTTCCAATAACAGAAGGACGAGAAGCTATCTTGGGTTTGGACTGCAATCCAGTCTTTTGTGCCGGAGACTCCTTTGGCTTGCCGTTGGGCGTTGGAGTGCTAGGGCCGTTGGCCTGTTGTTGCGAAGATTGCGTTAGCTCAGCAGCCGCTTCATTTTCTCGGGCGTTCGACGCTTCGCCCTTGTTTTCATCTTGCTCGAACGGTGACCCTTTCAGTATAGACCCCAACGGCGACGCTGCCCCATCTAGAGCAGCCCCACCGGAGACTGCAGCTACTTCCTTTGGATCTGATGGTAGCATAGCAGCAGTATTGTCTTCCGCAGTAGAATTTGGCTTGTCCGGATTGGCAACCGAAAGGACACCATTCATTATTCCCGACTTCTTTTGAGGTGTGACGTCCTTTTTCGGAGAAATCTTGGGTGTCGTCTGTTTAGGCGTGTTCACCTGCCTTTGGGTAGCTTTTTGAGGGGTCGACTCAATGCCATTGGGCTTCGGCTTTTCCACCGCCCCGTTCATTGTAGATTCTGCGATCCCGTCACCATTTACTACGTCACCCTCATTACCCAATTCTTCAGATGCATTGTAGTCCCCCATCTCTCCACTAGGCTCGACAGCAATAAAACTCGTTCGAACTTTCGAGATAGGACGTGAGGCGTCGCCTGTCACGCTCAACGATGCAGCTGGAGAGCGGCCGCGGGAAGGAGGGGAGGTGGATTCGTCCTTTTGTTCGAATTTTGCCCGCAAGGAAGCAACACCGCTTGGTCCGCTTGGTGAGATGCCTGCTGACATGACTGAAGCATCAAGCACTGTTAGCAAATGCAATGCTGGCAACTGTGGTTGTGGGGTCCAGGTAAAAAGTGAGGCATGGTTGGGCAGAGTTGCATTAGGCCTAAGCGCGTCTTGAGGAATGGAATGTTTGCTGACAGGCGGAATAGACTCACAATTCTCGGACTAAATGAGCGTGTCTGCTTTGATTGTGCAAACGTGTTCTGGCTTGCTAGAGAAACGGTGACTGAACTGGAGCTCGAGCAAGTTGCTTAGGGGTTTAAAAGGAGTGTTTACATATTATTTTTGAAGGTGATTAATCAATCTTGTTTCCTCGCTACGCCTTCCTCGTTGGGAATGAACTACATCCTATTTTAAGGTTTTCCTACCACATTTGTTCAATTACAATCGTCATATTGTCACAACTGGTTGGAATTCCTCTTCCAACGACAACATTCTTTGGGTCCCTGCACCGTCCAGCATATCCAAGACTGGGCCCTGCCTCCGCCAATTACATGCTCTAGACAAATCGTCGAGTCTTTCGAAATGGTCCAGCCATCCAGTAGCCCAAGCGGCAATTTCGATATATCATACCACTAGAAGAATCCGTTATCCAAACGACAATGGCTTCTGTCCTTTACTTTCTTGATCATCGAGGTGCTGAAGAGCTTGTGGGTCACATAGAGTATTCGGCTGTGTCAGCCTATTTTCTTCTCCAATTTTTTGAAGAAGCGATTGACCTTCTTGTCAACATTTTCCACACCGTGCTCGAGTCTGCCTTGCGGCTGTTTTGACGATTTTGACGGCTTGCGCCCATGAGTCTCTTCTTCTGTCGGTCTGTACACTTGACTATGAACATCGTATTCATTACCTTCATTGTGATGGTGGTGATGGTGCTGCTGCTGCTGCTGCTGCTGTTGCTGTTGCTGCTGGCTGTACTGGTAATTAGAATAACCGCCCATTGGTGGCTCATGCCCAGGTGGAGTGTAGTCAGCGTATTGCGGGTGCAGATGCTGCAAAGGCTGCCGGTTGCCGGCCACATAAGAGTCTCCGAGAATCTCGGTGGCAGGAGATTGTAAAGGCGCGCTATCTTTCCCATAGAATGGAGCCATCGAGTCTTGAGGAGGGGCACTAAATGTTGGAATAGTTTGCTGAGAGTGCACTGAGGCGGAGTTTGATGGGCTTTGAGGAGGTGCGGCAAACGAAGGGGTTGGTGTGTACGGGCTGACAGAGCCCCTACCGCTCTGTGGTGGAGGGGGTGGGAGTGACGACACGCTTGACGCTCTGTAGTTTGCCAACGATTGCGAGTTCGCATAGCCAGCGGAAGGATGTGGAGAAGCGAGAGAGGGTGTGTGGGATTGCGCTGGTTGAGGACTAAACAGGCCAGATGATTGATGACCGTATTGAGGGCGAGACATCGAGCTTTGAGGAGAAGCTGCCTGTGTATGATCTCGCAAGGCAGCAGCCGCAAGTCCTGTGCCTGCTTCAGCATCAACGGGTGGTGGGGTTTTTTCGCGAAGCTTGATGGGCTCTGGCGCTGGAGGGGCAGCTGGATTGTAGGCGAGTGGCTGAAACATCGTTGGAATCTGGGCTTTCGGTGTATCTTGAGGCTGGAACGCTGTTGGGATTTGCGCCTTTGGGGTACCTTCCCGATTTTCCTCTCTGGAGGTGCCTATGTTCAACGGAGTTACTACGCCTGCTGACTCTGTCCTTGAGTTGCGCGTTTGCCCATTACGGTAAGCTGGGTCCTGAATTGCAACATTCTCGAGCTTCTGTACCACAGGGCTCATTACTTGGTCGTGGGACGCGGGGGTGGGCGGTACATCGACAATATCGATCTGGTCGACTTCGAGCTTCTTTCTGGCCAATGTAACAAACGTATTCGCATCCTCCGCTGTCCAGAAATAGATGTCGAGAGTGTGAAGTCGGAAAAGGTACTTCCCCTCGTTGCGAGGATCGGTGTTCGGGAGCCTCCAGTGATGTTCCGGTTGCTGTACAAGCGATGCTGTCCCGTTATGATGACTGCCGTAGCCGTCGACTACGATGGTACACAAGGTAGGATGTTTGTGCGACTGGCGCAGAGTTGTTGATTCCATAGCTGCAACCATGAAGACATTCAGCTATCTCACCTCCCCTACAGTGGCATGTATCGCCGGGACTCACAGCCAGTAAAAGCATCCTGTTCTGGCTTGCCAACATTGTTGGCTACCTCCAGTCTGCCTCCATTACCGCTCTTATTGCCATAGAGGTAAAGGTACGATCCTTTATCGAACCGATGGGCTGCTGGCCGTGGCGTAGGGGCGCTAAAATAGTAATGCACATCGGCAAAACTGTGTAAGGTCAGTACATCAGCTCACACAGATCTCTACCGGAGGGCTCATACACTGTCAACAGACGCTGTTCTCCTTCCTGTGCTGACATTTCTTTAGATTCCGCCACGAAAGATTTGTTCCAGTTCCTGTCCCTTGTACACAAGCTTAAGTCTCCTAACCGCTATATCAAGTATGCCTATCATGAGCAGCACAAGTAAAAAAGAAAGAGCATCAAACGGAGCTCCTCCTCCAGCTCCGCCGATTCCTTGGCATCCTTCCGATTAGATAGCCAAGCGCGCGCGACTCCAGCCTTACAACATAGAAATTCGCACACTTTCCACTTCCACTTCTCCTTCTGTAGCAAAGTATACAGAAAACCTGGGCCTCTTCTTAAAGCATGTTTGTATTTACGAACTGTGCCCATACAACCAACTAGGTAGTCTACAATGAAAGATTGTTTGACCGTCGAATACTTCCCACAATCCTCTGTCACTTTTTGCTCGTTCTTCAAGTAAATCAATCACCTTATGCACAGGCCTGTTAAGTCGTTGAGTTGCGGTGTGAATAAATACCTCCACAACCGCGCCAGCTATCAAACTCACATCTATAGCAACGAGAGAAACAATGGACAAATCTCAAGAAACGAGTGTGACGGAGCGAAATGTAGCATTGTTGGAATGGTATCTTACCTTACCTGTTTTAACGACAGTGGTTTTGAGGCTTACACTGCCTTTTAGGTATGGACGGCTTTCGGTCAGGAGAGTCGATCTCGTGGGCGATTATGCTGGACAAGAGTTGTTCCTTCTCGAAGGAGATTCGCTTTTGCTACGATGCTTCAGCAATGCAGACCTGGATCTTGATCGTAAGTTGCAATGAATAGATCAGTCGGACGATTGGTCTTCGGACAAGCTGATGTCGGACTCGAAATAGGCGGGTTCCAGCTTCTTCACGCTGTCTACGCTGTTGAATATTTCTTACAGGGGTTGATCCAGCGGAAATGCAACTTTCACGTTGTCTTTTTCGACAACCATAGAGAACTCTGTCTCCCACGTGGAGTCCCAGTCATTGATAGACCAAAGTACCTACTTGCCAGAGCTGCCATTCAGAGACATCTCAGTGTCAATCTCCGACAATCACACCCAGCTCTTGAGATTCATTCCTTTGCATCAGAGCAAGACACAGCATTTCGAGCGTACTTGAAGGCGACAGGCATCTACTTTGTGATGTGTCACGATGGCGCAAATCCAGTCCCACTATCGACCGACCCATCGTTACCAGGGGCAAACGAAGAAGATCAGGCCGAGATCGACGCCCAGGAAACGTCGCGAAAGGTTGCATTTCGAACCATGATTTGTTGGCTGATAAATGAAAGTTACAATGTCGCCCTTATCAATGGATTGGAATGGGCGGACACAAAGGTAGCTTGTGTCTGCAATTTGAAAGAAAGTTTTCACCCACTGACTCCATCCAGGTGATGAGTATGGTGGTGGAAGGTGGGCGTAAAGCGAGATTCAACTTCGAGTACGAAGAAACTGTCCCTAGCCTGTCAAGTCCCAATGATCATGGTAACATCCCCTTCCTGGAGCAAGCCATGGTCAAACTTGATCTCAAAAGTCAGGGAAACGCTATAACAGGGATACACAAGTGCCAATGCAAGTCTTCTCAGGCGGTCGACATCACTCGAGCTTCCACTGAACGTGAATTGCTGACTGTTGTCACTCTTGCTCAAATGCTCGAGGACGACCTCGCCGTGAGAGACCTTGCGACACACTTTCTTGCCCATACTGCTCTGATAACATCATTACGTCTTTCAAACAGGCGGCAACCAAAACAGAAATCCAATAGTGAAGAACAATCTCGGCTACAGTCCTTCATCGCCAAGTTTTCGAGAGTCTCAAGCACTCTGATTGCAAGCGGCGCTTGGTCAGAAGCCATGGAAGCTGGAACAGTACCATGTGATGTTTCCGATTTGATCGATGGTCGACTATTTGAGGCTGTCACGATGGGTGAGAGTGAAGGGGGTTCCCCTCACCAGCCGACCGCAAGCTTTGAACATCTCGCCCGCAATCTATGCACATTATCCGGCTTTCACCTGAAAATGCCTACGAGCTTGCAAAAAATTACCTCACATGCTAACGAGATCAATGGCTCGAGCTCGGATGCTCTTGCAATCTTGCCGTTCTCTAACCCGGTTTTCGATAAGCATCTAACATCGATAAACCTTCGTGTCGCACCGCTCAAGTCGTCCGACCGGCAGTCCGGGCGAATTTTCCAAGAAGTATCGCATTGGCATAATGCGAAGAGACGTCTTGATCCAAAGCAGGGTCAGCAAACACCTGCATCCGCAAAGGATAAGGCCCGTAGTCTCAAGCGGGATCAGCGTTTCATGGCCGAAATGCAATCCTACGCTGCCAGTCTGACAAACGCTGCTGGAAAGGCTTTGGAGCCAGAGATAGTCACGGTGTCGGATTCTAAGGGTGTCAAGGCTCAAGTTGCCAAAGAACATGACAGTACAGGAGCAGCCAACAAGAAATCCTTGGGGGCTAAAGCCACTGCAAACCGCAAAGGTGCTAGTAAGAAGGCCATGATGAACGATATTGCCGCGAGCAAAGCGGTGAAAGATAGCGAGACCGAGGACAAGTTGTTCGCGGCGTGGAGAACCGTGAGGAACAACCTGGAGTCTGAGCGCAGTCTCCAGTCAAAGTACCACAAAATAAAGGCCTATCTGCGGGACCTCTCTGATCAAAAACGTAAAATCCTCGAAGCTGAAGTGCAATTCCATCTCTTAGTGATCTTATTCGAGATATATCGAACCCTACACAAGAGTGCAGATGCGCAAACCACATTTTCGTCGTCAAAAGAAGAGCTCTTTGGAGTGATCTCGCTGTTATGGGATACTTCTCGCAGGATCGCCACGCTTGACAACCTGACGATCACTATTGCAGAAAGCCTCAAAGGGATCATCAACGCTCTCAACTTGCCAGATCCGGGGGTGCCCACCGTGAAGATCGACCGAAAGCTGGCTTTTGATCCGGGGCTTCTGATGCCTAAAGGAAACGAACTCGCGATAGACTTGGAAGGCCAAGACTTTCAGCTCCTGCATTGTGGTCCATACATGGACCGAAACCTTGATTCAGCACCAGACTCGAGAGTGCCATTCCACCCAGATGGCTGGCAACGACGGGTTCTGGACGACTTGGATGCGCAGAAGAGTGTCTTTGTGGTCGCTCCTACAAGTGCCGGAAAAACGTTTATCTCTTTCTATGCAATGGAGAAGATTTTGAGGGGCAATGATGAAAATGTACTGGGTATGTCTCGGAAAAGTCCTGTGAATGTATATTGCTGACGAGTTAGTATATGTCGCCCCTACCAAAGCACTTGTCAACCAGATTGCTGCCGAGATACAAGCACGCTTCAAGAAGAGCTATAAGCATGCCGGAAAATCAGTCTGGGCAATCCATACACGGGATTACCGAATCAACAATCCGTCGGGTTGTCAAATTCTCGTGACGGTACCACACATTTTGCAGATAATGCTACTCGCTCCAAGTAATGCCAAATCATGGTCACCCAGGGTAAAATACATCATTCTCGACGAGATACACTCGATTGGCCAAGCAGAAGACGGCGTTGTTTGGGAGCAGTTGCTGCTCTTGGCACCATGCCCCATCATTGCTCTCTCCGCTACAGTGGGCAACCCGGAGGACTTCAATTCCTGGCTTACCGCGACTCAGCGATCGTCAGGTTTCGAAATGTCCATGATCACCCATCAACACCGATATTCAGATCTACGGAAATTCATGTTCAGTCCTCCAAAGCGGTTCGCGTTCCGTGGATTGGCAGACCGCCCCTCATTTGCAACATTGGGTCTTGACGGCCTACAAGGTCTGGCATACATTCATCCTGTTGCGAGCTTGATCAACAAGTCGCGGGGCATACCCGACGATCTAAGCCTCGAAGCTCGCGACTGTCTGTCGTTGTTCCAATCCATGTCTCGGCACCAGACGAAAGAATTCCCTATCGATCCGGCTTTGAACCCTTCACATAAGGGGTCACCTAAAATCATCAGGAAAGCAGATGTTATTGAGTGGGAGGCTTCTCTCAAGAATCTACTCAAGGTGTGGATGGCGAATGATCAATCGCCTTTCGACAAGGTGCTTGAGGATCTCGGCCGCGCAATGGATGTTACTAGCACCATTGAGAAGCAGTCGTTGAAGGGTACTGTACCTAGTGAGTTGGAAAAAGACATGGTGGCAGTTAATCCAGAAGATTTGTATGCCACCACTTTACCTCTTCTCTGCAAGCTCCATGAGAGGGATGCACTTCCAGCGATCTTCTTCAATTACGACAGACATAGATGCGAGGGCATTTGCCAGGCCGTCATACAGCAATTAATAGAAGCAGAGGTACGCTGGAAGGAATCAAGTCCCGTGTGGAAAACTAAACTCAGCGGCTTTGAAAGGTGGAAATCCGAACAAGCAAAGATGGCTGGCAAAAGACCGGCAAAGAAAGTTCCGTCAAGAAAAGGAAAGGGAGATGGCGATGATGATGATCCATCATCAAAGATGGACAAAATCCAAGACGCCGCCAGCGATGAAGCGAATCCGTATGCCAACTTCGATCCTGATGCGCCAGTTGATGGCTTTCACTTCGCAGCGAGACAGAAAGCTGAGGCCTCAGAATTGAACATGTATTATGGTCAGATGAAATGGAGAGGTTTGCCTTCTTGGCTGACGGACGGATTGCAGAGAGGCATTGGTGTCCATCATGCTGGTATGAATCGCAAGTATCGTCAAGTCGTCGAAATGCTATTCCGCAAAGGATATCTACGAGTTGTTATAGCCACCGGAACGCTGGCACTTGGAATCAACATGCCCTGTGCCACGGTCGTGTTTTCAGGAGATAGCATCTTTCTGACGGCATTGAATTATCGACAGGCTGCTGGACGTGCAGGGCGTCGGGGATTTGACCTGCTTGGAAATGTTGTCTTCCAGAACATAAGCCAAGGCAAGATATGTCGCCTTTTAAGCTCTAGGCTGCCGGACCTCAACGGCCACTTTCCCATCACAACGACGCTGGTTCTACGACTGTTCTCTCTGCTCCATGACTCCGACGACTCTCAATACGCGGTGAAGGCCATTAACTCGCTCCTTTCACAACCGCGGCTCTATCTCGATGGGCCGGCTTTCAAAGACCAAGTACTCCATCATCTCAGATTCTCGATTGAGTACCTTCGAAGACAGGATCTTCTCAGCTCCCAAGGAGCCCCAATCAATTTCGCAGGCCTGACCTCACACCTCTACTTTACCGAAAACTCGAGCTTCGCTTTGAACGCTCTCATCAAGGGTGCGTATTTTCACGAGCTGTGCTCTGAGATAAACACCAAGGAGTCTCACGTTGTTCGCATATTGATGGTCGTAATGGCTCATCTCTTCGGTCGACGTCCATGTCGAGAGGTAAATCATTTGATTGTTCTCCTCAAAGATTGGAGTTGCTGTTATATGCTGACTCGCGCTTCAGGCTGATGAAGAGTACATCGAGAACATTGTGAAACGATCTCCATCTATCGTCTTTTTACCACCCTTGCCTGCACAAGCTGCTCATATCCTTCGCGCGCACAACGAAGATACTTTGCAGGTCTTTACGACATACGTTAGGACATTCGTAGATCAGTACGTCAAAGACGATGACCGCAAGCTGCCACTGACGGGCATCGAGGCTGGAGGCGCCAACGACAATGTCATTTTCTATGGCTCCCTGCCTCCCACCAAAGTCAGGTCGGCTTTCGTTGCTCTGTCTGGCCACGGCGACAAGTTTGAGAGCATTTCAGATCTCTGCCGTACGACCAGAAGCGGTGTGTTTTTGGAGGAAGCGGTTATACCGCATCTGGATGTCTATCCGGACGAGTCCAAGACCCCTCTCAATGCATGTAAGTAGCGAACAGCCACCATCATTCTTTGGAGTAGTGCTTGGCTGACCATGTCTGCTTCTGACTTTAGACCTGTATGATTTCTTCATGCACGGTGATCTCGACGCGTTGGAAAAGGCAAACGGCGTTAAGAAATCGGACGTATGGTTCCTTCTTAACGGTATGAGCCTGTCCAACAGTGTCCTTCCATGCGCAAGTACCATTTGACTAACGGAAACCACAGACTTCTCTCTCGTACTCGCCACCATCTGCGCCTCACTAGCCAATTTTCTCAAGCTTCCTGAGTCCGATTTGAGTCTCCTCGACGTAATCGGAGAAGGCGACGAGAACAATAACCTGGAGGATGATAAATTTGGCGGGGACTCCACGACAGATACTGAGAGCACCACAGGCTCAACAGCAACCACTGACACAGGGAGAACATCCGTCACTACTGCTTCCTCGTCGAGCAGCAAGCCAAAGCCCAAAACGAAAGTGGCTGATGCATGGGATGATTCAGATGCCGACGAGGCAAGCGAGCCGGAGGGAACGAATGTGGCTTTAGACAATGACCCAAGCAAAGAAGAATTGGAAAAGGGTTTCCTCAACGTCTACAAAGCCATGACGAAGTTACGAAGTGAATTTGACACGAAGTTCCGAAAGATTTTCGCATGAGTGGCATGATTGCGCGGTCCACAAACGTACTTTCTATAGACAGATAGGGGCCAGATTGCGTTCTTAACAATTCCAGTGGATACCATTGACCCAGACCTTGACTGGAACGTTGGTGGCTAACGTTCGAGGCGTGCCTCGTGACGGCCGGGGTGGAGGACCGCTGCTTCAGCATTGATTTTCACCCTTCATCGATCGGGTGTTGCAACCCCCGACAGCCATGAGAAAGCAAGATGCGTCAAATGTTGAAAGGTCTGAAATGCCGAACAAATGACGCATTGTGAATGGTACCAGACTTTGATCGAACGCCACCGACTCCATCTCTTCCCGTTGGCCAAGGGCACATTGCGAAAGTAAGTTATGTTCAGGACGAACGACCCTACAACATCAGAAGGCCTGGCCAAAAAGCGATTTGTGTCGCTGGGAACCTGGTGTGCTATTCGCAAGATATACAACACAAGTAAAGGCCCATAAATTAAATTCATGGAGTTGAATTTTTCTAAGTCAAATCGAATTTTAGCCCTAGCCCTAAGTCAAATCGAACTCTGATCGCTTGCTATACGTTTTTGACTTATATATAGACATATATGTACGAAAAGAGGCGCGCTAAGGCCTAATTAGAAAGGTATATCGAGTGTGAAGAATTAATCCGTAATAATTGCCCATAAAAAATAGAGAAAGACTATGTTCTTATAGCAAAAAGTATTAAAATACCGAAAAGAAATAGAGACAATATGCTAATTAGTGGTGTGAATCCCACATTATCTTCTACCGTAGTGAAATCTTTCGAATAATGAAATAGCTGTAGACATCGGACGATTTCAATTCATTTAAATATATATCGTCTGATGTTCCTTCTGTAGAGGCCTAATTGACTGTGATCGTTATAGTAAATCCTCCTCTGCGAGCGAAATATCGGAAAGAAATAGAGATAACGTGCTAATTAGTGGTGTGAATCTCACAATATCTCTTATCGTAGTGAAATCTTTCGAATAATGAAATAGCTGTAGACATCGAACGGTTTTAATTCGTTTAAATATGTATCGTTCGATATTTCTTCTGTAGAGGCCTAATTAGCTGTAATCGTCGCAGTAGATCCTCCTCTTATAACGTCATTGCAGTGATATACTATATTAATGCAGTGAGGATGATAGGCCAAGTTGCAGTGGTGTTCTTCGCTTACTAAGTGATGATTTAATATAAAACCGTGAAGAGTATATAACGTGGGATCTTGGAGAGTTGAGCCGTGTTCTTAACGATGATAGTCTTTTTACCGCTTAGTTTCTCCGCAGTGTTCTCCGTATTTGTCTATTATAGTTCCTCCTCTTACTTCTTAATGTAGTGGGAATGATAGGCCAAGTTATAGTAGTATTCTCCGCTTACTAAGTGATGATTTGATATGGAATCGTGGAGAGTATATAACGTGGGATCTTGGAGAGCTGAGCCGTGTTCTTGACGATGGTGGTCTTGTTGCCGCTTGGTTTCTTCGTAGTGTTCTCCGCATTTGCCTGTTGTAGTTCCTCCTCTTACTTCTTAATGCAATAAGGATGATAGGCTAAATTGCAGTGATGTTCTCCGCTTGTTAAGTGATGATTTAATGTGAAATCGTGGAGAGTATATAACGTGGGATCTTGGAGAGCTGAGCCGTGTTCTTGATGCTGGGGGCCTTATTACCGCTTGATTTCTCCGTAGTGTTCTCCGTATTCGCCTGCTGTAGCGACTTCTCTTGTACTAGCTGAGTGAATTAATGTGAGATTGTGGAGAGTAGGCCTGTTGTGTTACTGCTGCTGATGACTGTCTCCGCAATGTTCTCCGTAGTATTCTCCGTATTCGCCTGTTGTAGATCCTTCTCTTGTTTAACTGAGTGCGAGGGTATCGAGAGTAAATGTGTTTATATTGATGGAATTAGTAGAATTGATAGAATTAATAGAATTGATAGAATGATAAAAAAAGAATAATTACACAAATAGGTGGAAGGATTATTATCCGATCTCGAACGCGTTTGGTGTGACTATAATATTTAAATGTTAGTTCCGCTGGCTTGGGAGGAGTATGTAGGGAAGGATATATCCGTTCGGGCTCTTTTTTGAGGGTCTTCTAACGCGTTTATGAGTAGTAGTAGATAGCGATTACCAGCAGTAGCGGATTCGTCGAGGGGTGGTTTAAGGATGTTAGTAGAGGCTCTAAGAGGCGGGTAAAGGGGTGTATATGTCTTAGACGTTGAGTAACCTTTAGACGAGAGGTACCGAAGACGATTGTGTTTATATTGATGAAATTAATAGAATTAATAGAATGGTGGAAGAAGAATAATTATACAAATAGATGGAAGGATTATTATTCGATCCCGGACGCGTTTGGTGTAACTACCATGACTACCATATTTGAATATCCATTTAATCCACCAATAGTAGACCAAACTTCATTATTTTTTATAGCGTTAGAAAGCGCATACTAAGCTCTATAATTTACGAAATTATAAAAGTAACAACATCCTTAGGGAGATAGTTATTTCAGAGTGTAAAACTTCTATATACAAATTTTTAATAAGGGGAGGCGGGAGGGCTATCGGGCTGACTCAGCCGGTCTAACCAAAAAGCGTATAGGACCCGAATTGATAATTGGCTGCATATACAAATTCAAGGTTTTCTAGTTCAGCCCTACCTTATTCTTTTATATATACTGATAGAATGAGATGTGTGTCATGAGTGACCAACGCCGGAGATACCTCCGTTCAGGCACACATCGCAAGAACGATGTAATTGCACGTGATAATCATAGCCTTCATCTATAGTAGAGTAGCATCAATGCGACTTTGGTACCATGCTCCCCAGCAAACACCAAGGCTTCCGGCACATAGTGTACATAGTTACAACATTCAAAGCCTTCTCTCCACCGCAGAGCAGACATCAAGCACCCTTAACCCCCGCGTCCTCCTTCCCCTTCTTCATCTCCTTCCTTGTCAACTCCACCTCCAGCACCCTCCTCTTACTGACCTTGCCCTTCAAGCCATCATCCTCCCGATCGAAATACAGCGCCCACGTATCCGGCTTCTCCTTCACCGCCAAGAACCCCTCCCAGCCTTCAAACGTCACCCTCCGGTCGATCTTGGTGCAATTCCAGGGTCCCACGACGTGGTCTCCGACTTCGATCTTGTTCCCGTACTTGACCTCGTTGGTGTCTTTGTCCACATAGATCCAATTGAGTTGCGGGGGGCCGGGGCCGATGGTGGAGACGAGCCCTTCGCCTTGCCAGCCCCAGTTGTGTTGGGGGTGAGGGAGGTAGTAGCCTGTGAAGGGGTGGCCGGCGGGTTCTTCGAACTCCAGGTCGTCTTCGAGGGGGACGTCGAGGTCCTGGGCTATTTGGATGTAGAGCTACAGGGCGAAAGGTGAGCGGCTATGATGTCCTTCATTGGAGGCATGTGACGTGGGGCAAACGGAGGCGCACCTTGTGGTTTTTCAGCACCACCATGCCTCCATTGATCTGCGCGCTTTGCGACGATGTCTTCACGCACGACGCAACTAGATTCGTCTTCTGTCCGCGATGCTTCTCTTTGGCATTCTTGTTCTGCCCTGAGCGGACTGCTTCCGTGGTGCCGATGATGGCGGGGCATGCTGCTATTGCTGTCAGGAGTCCTAAGACCATGATGGCTTCGTTTCATGGAACGTCACGAATGTTGCTCATGAGGGTAAACAAACATAACATGGTCTATTACTCGAGATGATGGGAGAACATCCGGTAATGATTGGTAAGCATCGCTACCGATCATCATTGGGTCCAGAGCTGCAGAATGATTTCGTTGTCGCAATTTGCCCCCACATAATCTAATCAGGGTTTCGGAGGGGTCAATCATGGAGCAAATCCGGGAAGTGAGAACAACGCCTCAATTGCGCCTTTTCGGAAAGGTTAATTGGGTACAATGTCACGAGCATCGCATGAGTCCAAAAGCAAGATTCCAGGGGAAGAAGAAACTCTGGGAAGCTTGGAAGAGCCGAAGAGGAGGCTGGTAATTGCTATAATATCCCTCACCTCCACCTTCCACCACTGATCCCCATCCATCTACCATTTCGCTCAAAGTCTCTCAATCACGCATCATCACGCCTGCTCTCAAGCATCTATCATCTTTCGCGTCAGTGTCGGTCAGTGAACTCCAGCGAGAACCATGGCTCAAAAATCCCCTCCCAAGCTCCAGCCCAAGAACCAAGCTCCCACCAAACAGTAACCCTCACCCCCAATTTCCCCCCACCACCATGACGCGCGAACCTACACTGACCGGCCGCGTCTCATCCAGAGCGGACCCCGAGCCCGACATGTCCTCCGACAACGAAGACCAAGCCACCGGCGGGCGCAAGCCGCAGCCGAACCAAGAGCTGCAGAAGCAACCGCCGCAGACCCAGCAAGCCAACCGCAACCAATCCGCCCCCTCGAACCAAGACCAAGGTCTGCAGCAGCAAAACGAAGCGCTGCAGCAACAACTCATGGCCCTGCGCCAGCAGCAGTCCCAGCAACCCGAGGTCAAGGGCGGCCGCATCGCCCCCGTCCGGCAGTCGCGCATCCTGGACCGGGCGCCGAGCGAGGGGGCGAAGAACTCGAGCCTGAAGATCCAGATCGAGTTGGACCTGGAGGTGGAGGTAGATCTCTACGCGAGGGTGAAGGGTGACATTACTATTGGGCTGATGTGAACCGTGTTCGTGTGGGGGTAGGTGGATCTCTACGCCAAGGTCAAGGGCGACATTACACTCGGGCTGTTGTGAGTCTTTCGAACATGTATGTACCTGCGGCTCACCCTTCGCCTCCGAACCCAATGGGATCAATTAGTGACGATTGGGTGTAGGACGGATTCGTGAAATACAAACTGGTGCTATGGTTTTCAATTTCCGCGCAGTAGGTTTGGTGAAAAGGTGGGAGGCAAACGGTGTTTCTGGGGAGTTTGACTACAGTCACGCAAATCGTTCAAATGTTCCGCTATGTACCCACTTGCTCTCTTCTGTCGTATGTCTTTCGACCAGGGTGTCGATTGCGCTGTAACGGAGTCTTCCAGACAAATATGTTGACACCGACCTCTCCACCAATGTGAATTACGAGTAATCTCCCGGTGTTTATCCGAAAGCTTGGCATTCACTGTCGTCCGCTCTTTCTTTGTGCAACATCCTCATGCTGCCTCAGCCCCTCACATCAAATTTTGACACTCTGACAGCATTGGTGGAGTCATCGTCTCTGAGAGCCAGCATCGATGTGCATCCCTATCCCAGGGTCGTTTGGTGCGATATTCACATGGTTTCAAGGTTTCGCCTGAATATCCGCTTTAGCCTCATTGTTGCCTATTTCGGCCGTTTGCCGTCTCTTCAACCCTCCAACCAGCCAGGACTTAGTTAGCATCATGTCCTTGTGGTAAATTCATCCAGGAAGGTGACACAGCTTTCAGAATTGCACAAATATATCTCCACTTCCTCATCCTCAACACTTCGATTTTTGTCAACACTAATGTGACAGAGACATTAATCGATCTCTTCCCCAGCTCCAGTCTCCCCCAGCTTTACACCAAGCCTGAACAGTACATCAGGATCCGCAGCCCGAAACGAGTAGATGAAACGCCTTTTGACAAAAGGCGATCGGGCTCGCTCTGGTCCACACCAGAGATCAACTGGCTGGGCATCCTCGTTCAAGACGATTCTCCTATCGATGAGGTCTTCTCTCCAACAACCAAGCTGTCTGGAAAGATTGTTCAATACATGGCGGGATGAGGGTTCTCTTGGTCCATCAAACATCTATTCTCTCCCGTACTGAATCCCTTCCATCACTGATCATCGATTATGCCCAATCGCTCAATTTCGATATTATCGACCTCAAGTATTGCTGTCTCCTGAAATGTCCCCGGCCCTTTGTCTGCCATGCCATTCCCAGCTGAGCATTTGGGTCAGCGACGCGAAGTGGTGCCTTTCGAGCGGAAGGCTCCACATTCTCTCTATGGGCACCAGCACCGACGTCTTCCATGGTGATATCCCCTTTTTTGGGTACGGTCCTCGTGCCTTGGATATTCGAGCTCGCTCCACGTTGTGCCTTGAAACTAGCTGTGTGTAGTACTCTATGGAGCAGGGGCTTCTCTGTTCGTCTGACTTTGGCGTGAGTTTTCGTGGGTGCTTTGGGTTGGGAGCGTTGCGCTGCTACTCGATAAAATCAACACTGATGATGAGTGTGTCAGGGATCGGAGGATGCTAACCTTTGGATTTCACTCGGCCCTCTAGGCGCTTGTTACCGTAATCCCAAATCCACGCAATCATTCGCTGCCGCGAAACCAAATCGCCGACATAAGGGCCGCGAGCAGGGAAATCTAGAATCTTGAAGGATCCAATCTTCTGATCGAATGCATACATGGCGACGATACCGTGATCGGTAGTTGGTTGTATCCGGAGGCTTCTGAAGGGGGTTCCCTAAACAGTCGTTGGCTTTTCGCCCGTGGTAAAACTAAAATCGGCTTACCTTGAAATCAACATGCCACTTCTCCAGGTTCGTGTCCCTATGTAGCAGTGGCATGCGGAATTGAAATCCTTCAAGCATATAATACACGCCTAACGCCAGGTTCTTGTCCTCAAAACTAGCTTTAGCTCTTCTTATTCCACTGCAACCCGCATCACTGTTGTCTTGCGCAATCGCATTGTACGTCTCAACATCCAGTAGTGGAAGCATGGAACCGCTCTTGACTTTGGTCAATTGACGTTCATACCCGTAGTTCCAAATCCACTTGAGCATCGCTACCCAATTTTGAGGGTAGTCCAGGATCTCGAATGTTTCCACGTGCTTTCCGGAGGCATAGATATAGATTAAGGTCGTAGAGCCAGGTTATAGACGGAGGCTACGAAAGGGGGAATCCTGCCCTGATGTTCAGAGATCAGCTGGATAGTCAGCGAGATAGTCACCTACCCGAAAATAGATATGCCACTTCTCGAAGTCTATCTTGTCATGGTGGAGCCGCGCTTCAAAACTTGACGGCCATATATCAAACAAGACCGATAAGCCGTCCTTCAACTGTCGCCACTGCCCCAGCTGCTGCTTGGCGGCGGAAATTCGGTATGGGTCTGTATCGTCGTCGGGGCGCAGAAGCACGTTGAGTTTATTGTCGCCCAAAGGCCGGAGCATGGTGAAACGTGGCTGTCGTATTTTTGAGAAGAAGCGGAAGTGATGAGTTCTGGGAGAAGCTCATATGTACTTTAGTGATTGTATTTGTTGCGTTCCGAGGTCGTAGCAACGGCGCGCTTGACGCGTCTGCACGTGACATCATTCAGGGAGCCAGCCAATCGACTCAAGTACCTATTCCGTTTCTTCCAGTGTCTCCTGATCCTCAAGTGAATTTTTGACGACGTGAATAAGTCTGCCCACGTCGAGTTTCCCTGCCAAAGATGCAAACCTTCGAGGTCAAAATCCATCACGCGAGCTCGAAGCAATATTTAATTTGCACTACGCTCAGAGAAAGTCATAAGCAAGAGCAATCGACGTCCAAGAGGCCGCATGTCAGAGCCAAAGCGCCAATTTTATGGTATCACGCTGCATGGGCGACTTATGCTGCGAGAATACCTGAGAATACTCATATCTACAGACTAGGTTCACCCAGTGACTGGTCAGACCTGCATTGCCAACAGAGACTTTATTTTTGATCTGATGGCAATGCGTTCAAGTCTTCCGGTTTGAGACGCTTGACTACGCAGCTTTGTGTGTTCTCCGGAGCCTGGCTCCGTCGCGATGCTAGACGGGAGGTGGGTGATTAGCGCGTGCTATTGAAATCAATAACCGCTGTGTTCAGGGTCGCCGTCGGAAACGTACCGGCCATATCTCACGTTTTGGTCCATCAATGCCCGTTGTCAGCGTTGTCGAATATCAGCTTCGAGCTAGTTCTGGAGCATTGTTTGGCCCTCTACTTCTGAACACCATGAGCTTAACATGCCTCTCACAGCTAAGTCTATCAGCCGCATGATTCAAGATGACAGTACATCTGGACAGATGACCACTCGCCAACGCTGAAATCAACTAATAGACGATGTCATCACCCTCACCCCCATGCTCCTTAACCCTCACCGTCTTCACTGTCATAACTTCTTCGCTATGCCGCGATTCCCACAGTCCATCCTCAAGACCCCTACGTCCAGCCCTCTGACTATAGCTTCTAAAATCAGCCGCCGGCGGTAGCGTCGGCAAAGTTTTCTCGGGCATGACGAGGTACTCCGCTGCCCTTCTTGCCAAAATTGGGCTTTGTACCTTCGGACTCTGCTCGAAGCCATAGATCTCATCCGCAGTCTGTGAGAATTGGGACGAGTGCCACAGTGCCGTGCTTGATCCGCCGAAGAGTCTACGTCCAACGGCTTGGACTAGTGGGCGGAGAACGGGTAGACAGGCACAGATGATGCCGACACTAATCTCGACATTGGACCATATGATGGGGTCCACCATGCTCCCTGTTATAGGTTAGCTCTGAAATTTGATTATTCGCTGGTTACCGGGTTTGGATAGCGCGCAGTGTGAGACAAGAGATGGCATTGCTTACATGTGATATCAGTAATGTCCACGTTAGCTACAGTGTACGCTCTCGCGATACTGGCGCCGCATATGCTAGATTCATGTTGAGCGACAGTCCGGCATTAATTTTAGCGTCCTACTTACAAGGCTCCCAGCAAGAAAATACCACTCAACGACGCCTTTGACTTCCTCGACATCTGAAGCGTCCAAACGATAGAAAGCGGCAACGCCAAGATCCAGAAGTCCAGGATAACGTTGATCACCGAAGTGGCAATCAGATAGGCATTGAGATTGTTACAATGCTCCATCATCTCTATTGCATCGATGGACCATGCAATGTGTATCGGCTTGCATTGAAAGACTGCCGGCAAAATGGTCGCCATGCACCAGCTAAGAACAATGGCTTCGGTGATGTATATTACGTATCTAAACCATTTGCGAGCTCCGAACAAGCGGAGGTAGAAGAGTAGGATGGAGATTTTGATGGCAGTGATGGTAATGGGGTAGTGAATTTCGCTGACATAGACGTCCTTCTCGATCGTCAGCTCTAGGTCTCTGTTGTTCAATGGGTCAAATTGCCCTGAACTGCTCCGACACCTGATAAGGTGTCACTGTCTGGACGTGCCGTCCCATGCCATTGTGGATATCTTCAAGCGGGTCAGATCCCGGAACGTCTACTAGGTGGAAAGTGGGTCTTGCCAATGAAGACTATTGCAGATGACCCAAAAGATAGCACCTGCAGTAATTTAGACCCGTGGAGACGGTGTCTTGAGGTGACCTACCAGGCTGATCACAATGAAAGCATCGCTGGATTACCGTCAGTATTGTCTATTTGAGGGGCGATATCGAGCCTTAATAAACATGTTTCGAGAGTACAAACTCCCAAGACATGTCCAAGACTCAAGATTTGGAATAAAGGGGGAAATATGGACTCCGGAGATACGTACTCCCACCAGAAATTCGCTGCTGAAATACGCCGGGATAACAGACGCAGGCCGACGGTGAAGGAAGACAAAACAATGAAGATCACGCTGAATGCAACGATTGATGGAGCGCGGTTTTCATTTACGTCAGTCATGTCGATCACGCCTTGTCCTACTCCTGCAAGAAATACCAGGATGTTTTCTGATCATTGAAAAGAGACGGCTGAAGCAGGTATTGTTGAGAGAAAGAACGTACGGATCTTGCGAGGTCAACGTCTGTTTTACCAACGCACACGACCAGCCACATTGTCCACGCACACCAACTCGAGCAACAATGAGAAAGCAGCAGACGTGCATGAAAACAACCTTGCAGGAACACTAAGATACTGTCCAAGCCATATTGCGAAGTGCTTGGTCCAACATTGCCAACATTTAGGCTTGCTGGCAGAGTGGGGCATTATGCGGGCTTACAGCTCGGCAGGGGTGAAAAAAAGTTCGGCAGGGGTGAGTAGATGCTAAGTATATGCACCTCGTCCGGGGTAAAAGGGATACACTCAGCATATGCCAGCACCTCATCGGGGGTGAAGAAAATTAAATTCAGTCCAGCGATTTTTACGTGTGCGAGATACGGGAATCCCCACATATAGGAGAGGATATGCGGAGCTGATGCTTAGTATATGCAGATTTATTTAATAATTTATCTATTATAACTATTAATAATAGAGAATTACTTCTTATAGTAGTTAGAAATTTAGAAGTTAATAGCATATGCCTAGTATATGCCTGTATCCCCCTCTAAAGTGCCAATATTATTTTAGACCCGGCCCGAGTTCATCCGGGGTGAAACGGATACGTTCAGCATATGCTATGAGTTCATCCGGGGTGAAGTGAGCATATGCTGAAGCTTCACCCCTGCCGAACTTTTTTTCACCCCTGCCGAGCTGTAACCCGGCATTATGCAAGGCTGGGACGGCGAGCCGTGAGATGAATTCGGTTTGCGGCGGCGCAGCGCCCAAAAAGCAAGGCAGAGAGTGGGAAGTGAAGAAGACGGTGTAGGCACTGGATATGGATGCATTGCCTACACTATACCCTCTGATCTCTCCATTTTGTGGTATTACCTGTGCGAGTAGCTGGGTCCAACGGTTCACACTCAGATTCGGACTCAGGCAGATACCTTACTGGCCCTGGAACTAGCCCTCGTAGGGTGGTGCTATTGCCACTCCACTACGGGAGCTGCCGGGCAAAGAGTCATCTCTAATTGAAGAAAACAAAAAGCACCGCAACACCATTATTATACCAGCGCCATTAGTAGAGGGGTTTCGCAACTTTTTTCGTACACAATCTCCTACCTTATTTGATGTAATTTTATCTCAAATAGGTCTAGCGATGGCTCGGAAATCCAACAGAATTTAACAAAGTCTAACACGCGCTAAAGTTAATGGAACGATTCTACTAATAGTAGAATCGCTCCACTAATTAACTTTGAGGATTATTAACCATAAGAGGCAAAGATAGCCGTCACTAGACACATTAAAGCCTGTTAGTATATACTTGAAGGCATATTTAATGCTCGGAGGTTCATTAGTTTGTCGGAAAAGTCTCGGATACACTCTAGTACGCATGTTGGAATCTGGTATTGCTGTGAGACTAAGGGTGTAAGAAAAAAGTTGCGAAACCTCTCCATTAGGAATCGAACCTAATACGAACTAAATACCCCCAACAACACGACCACAACCAACAGGTGTCCGCCCTCGGACTATAACTAACGAGGAATATTTCGCTTCACAAATCAATGCGTCACATAGGATTCGAACCTAAGCCCTCGCCAATATCGTTCGATAGAACTTTAATATCTATGGCTAATGGCGCTGCCAGAATATAAAAAGCACCGCAACACCATTGTACCAGCGCCATTAGGAATCGAACCTAATACGAACTAATAAATACCCCCAACAACAATTGAACCCATGTCCAGTGCCGACCAGGCTACGACGGCTTGGAGGCGGAGATCCGGGATAAGTCCTGAACCACGCCGCTTCACACGGTGCTACCCGTCGTTGCTTCCAATAACAAGATGAAACTGCGTTTCTGAAGGATGCACACCCTTCACAATCGTATTGTCGAAGCATATGAATTTTCAACCAGGTCAGCGCATAAGTCTTTGCTGAGCCCACCCATCGACCACGATGACCCTCCCCCAACACTTTCCACGAGATAGCCATAGGAATATTAGACAACCCACTGTAGAGGACAACATCATCCGGAACTCTATTGGAAGATTCCACGACGACGGTTCCTCAGACAAGCAGAAAATGATTGGGAATCGGTCCATCCCCAACGAAGCTCACGTGTGCGTCGGCTCTGGTCTCGCATTTGAGGAAAACGCACTCGATGTCGGTCTTACGCAGGAAATCCTCAACCAGATGAGGTTCGTTCCCCTGGGAATTCATTCCGGTATTTGAGATGGGGAAACGCTTCGAGAGGGTACAAGTCCCCAGGTGCTGATTTGCTGTAAGGCTGGAAGAAAGTATAGTGTGAGCAGCATCGTGGTCTTTGGATGGGGAGCGAGAATGACTGGACCTGCGTTAGTAGAGTTCGTCATTCCGCAAGACGCATATGGAATCAAAGGGGTTTCCGCGTGCGTGGGCAGAGAAGCCATTGGGTACGTACTACTGCCGCAGCGACAAGTTTCGCCCCTCCCTTCCCAAACACTCAGACTCCCATGATGACAAGAGTTCCGACACTCTTTACTTGCCGGGTCGTCACTTAAGTTCTAAGCCCTGAAAATGTAGCAAGCCGGCGCTTTGCCGCCGTATGGACAAGACAGGAGGAAAGGTGACAGCTTGACTTGAATCATCCCCCAATCTGTAGATTTAGTATTCAGATCCTATGAGTCGAGAGTACCTACTTCAAAGGTTACTTCGCGTCTGGGCATTCGACACTGTGCGAGCTTAAAAGAGCCGTCATATTTGTTGGTATTCTCAACAAAATCAGAGCCCCTTTACATCATGCATGGTCCCATCTCGAGAGGTCAAAAGTCAGTTCTGTCGAATCTGCACTTGCGGACGCATCGTTCTACAGAGGCCTCTGACCAGTAGGAACCTCCCATGTTCGCGATAGTCGTAGCCACCGAGGCAGCGTGAATCCACACTTTTACTGACAGAATGAAAGATATACCAAACCATGGTGTCAGGAGGCCCTTACCTTGACAAGAGCTTCGTACGACTGAATACCAAAGTTGATGAGAGATGTGCTTAGAGCTATGCATCTGCTCCATCCGTGTTTTGTAAAGGGCAATGCTTAATCTAGGTCATCTGCCTCTGGTTCGAAGTCCTTCTCACCTTCATGTCTCGCCCCTTGCGATTCCTGACTCGTAACCTTCGTATCTTCACCTCCTTTCTTTGGTTCTGCTTCTTCCTTCTCCACATCCTCTTTGTGCAACAAGGAGAAGACTACCACAAAGAGCACTTCGTCCGTGTCTTTGATTTTGAGGACATACCTGACACGGATGAGCAATGTGAAATACACCAGGGGGGTGCAGGGACTGGTAGAGTAATGGGAACCTACCGCAGATAGTCCGTTCCCCCTAGATACGGCAACACCGACAACGAAAAGCCTGGAAGCTTGAGGGAAAAGCCTGCCCATAGAAGATTAGCAGAATTTCGTCGTCCACCCTCTTCTCCTCTACATCCATCCAAAATTCTCCACTCGAGCAAGAAGAGTCCAACGCACTGTTGAAATCCAGATATGGATTGAAAAAATCACACTCGTAGACCCTCCCCTCCTCCCACTCCCACTCCTCCGTCTTTCCCTTCGTGAGGAAGTGCTTCTTCCTCGCGTCGCCTGTCTCCGGCACATCCTTGCTCTTCCTCCACTCTTCGCCCTCTCCGTCTCCTCCCTCCTCCAACGCCTTCTCTTCGCCTACAGGCTCCGGCAGATCTTTGCCATCTTTGACCTTCTCCCCCACACGTAGTATGTTCACGCTACTGAGTGCATTGCCGTAGAGATGCGGAGTATCGCTGTACAGATCCCCATCCAACCCTGGATCGATCGCCCATTTCACTATCCGTAACGCGGTACTGGTTCCCGGAGGCAGCCGGTCACGGATTGGTCGGTCGAAACTGTTGCCGAAGACGAGGGCAGAGCCGGGGAATGACTTGTGTGGGAGGAGTGTGAAGGCAATACTATATTGATCATGAAGGTGAAGTGCGTGAGAGAAGTACGCAGATGTAGTAGGAGACTTGCGTGGTAAGCCTCGATAGTTTTGGATCCGGACAGAGATTTTGGCGTCACAGATGGCGGTGGATATGTGGGTTGGGGTGGGCTTGTTGACCTGTACGGTTTGGTGGGTGGTGGTGTCGTAGGAGGAACCGGCGGTCACGCGGAGGAGATACTTGTCTGCCATGTCCGAAGCAAAGTGGGTGAACAAGAATTGGACAACTACGTGGCTGTCATGGTTACAATAGCTATGGCCTTAATAACCAACAGAGGATTGTGAGCATGACTTCGAGAAATCGATCGATTAAGCATTCTGACGGAATGTGGTCAAAGTCTCCGACTTTAGTATTCATCAGATCTACAAATGAAACAGAGCATCTAGGCTCTACGAATGGTGAGAAATTGCAGGCTTCATGCAAAATCCTTGGGTATCGAACAATTTAGATTTCAATTCAATGCACTCCACCATGGTGACTTTGCCGCCAAACTCCAACACC